TATGGGACAACAAAGCAACTCGTTTCCATTGAGTAGGAACCAACTCGTAGCTGACCCTCCAGCCCCAGGTTTTCAGAGGCAATTAATCACATGGGAGGAGAATGCCAGTCTTCCTCCCAAGGAGAAATTCAAACTGCCCACCTTTGGGTTGGCAGAATACATCTTTATCTACGAGGCCACCAGGCAGAAGGCTATATGGCCCAAACAGAAGAGGAGAAGATGTTACAGAGATGGAGGCAGAAAGAGGAGTTGTGTGTCCATGGCAAAATAACAAGGTGGAAGAGGCAAGGATCACAGTGTTCCTTGAGACATAAGAGGTTATGCAGCCCACCAACACCATGATTTTATTTCTTTTTTTATCGTACTAGTTTATTTGTTGTTTCTGTTGTTGACTGCCTGCGAGTTGAGCACGACTCATAGTGACCCTATGAACAAAAGGCCTGAAGCCCCTCTACAACTAGCGACATTTATCAAAATTCATAGGGTTTCTGGAGGCATGTTATTTAGGAAGTGGATGCCACTCCTGCTTCCAAACCTGTCATAGTATGTTAATTTGTTATATGCCAAATACTTTGTTTTCTAAAACAGATTCCTCCAACATCATGATTTTTAACTTCTTGCCTCTCAAGCCTCAAGAGAATAGTGCCACTCCAGGAAGTCAATGCAACTTCTAAACACATCTTCTGTTTCATTTGATCTGAGGATATTAGAAAGCATTTAGTGCCTGCTGTGCATAAGATGTGGTGTTCAGTGCTTTCCATGTAATGGCTACATAACCCATGTAGTCAACTAGACCTATTTTACAGATGGACAAACTGAGGCATCTCATAGAGGACAAACTGAGAGAAGTTAAGTAGTTGGCTCAATGTCACAGAGTAACTAGCAGAGCTAGAACTTGAAACTAGAACCTGAAAGGCAGGTTGGCCCTGAAGTCCGTATTTTTAACCACTATGCTCTATTGAGTGTACCATGGACTGCTAGGAAAACAAACAGATTCATCCTGGAGAGGTTTAAACCAGGCTGCTCCTTGGAGGTAAGTATTCTGATTCAGTGATTGAGGAAATCGGGATGGGTGTATCAGAGACAGTGCAACTGGCACAGGACAGAGCAGAGTTTAGGGCTGTTGTACATAGGGTCGCTATGAGTCGCAAGCGACTCGACGGCACATAACAACAACAACAACATGCTCTATTGCTTCTTTGATAGAGAATGAAATTGTTTCTAATTCTCACAGAGATAAGTTATGGGCCAGGAAGAAAGGCCTGGTAATTTTTGCCTGAAAATTAGTGCATGAAGTCTCTGTGGATCACAATGGTCCAATCCACGGCTAATCACAGGAATGGCATAGGACCAGGTAGCATTTTGTTCCATTGGGTGTGGGGTCAAGTTGGGGACCCACTGGATAACAGCTGTCAACAACAAAGCAATGCTTAATCTCCTTGGAAAGTGTTCTGGTTAGGATGAACAGTTAATAAATGCTGCTCCCTGGAGGTAAAGATGCTGAAGCGTCATTTTTCATACTTCAGACACGTGGCCAGGGGAGGCTCTCCCTTGGAGAAGGGAATCATGCTTGGAAAGATGGAGGGTCAGCGAAGGAGAAGAAGACCACCCCCCCAAAGAGATGGACTGACACTGTGACTTCAGCAAGGTCTCTAGTGTCTCAAAGATGATGAGAATGGCACAGGACAGGGCAAGTTTCAGACTGACTGCTCATAGGGTCACTATGAATCATACTCAACTTGATAGCACCTAACAATGACAACAACAAACTAACTAAAAGGTCAGTGGTTTGAATCTACCCAGAGGCACCTCAGGAGAAAAGCCTGGAAGTCTATTTCCAAAGCGTCAGCCACTGACAGCCTGGCAGCATGGTTCCATTCCAACACACGGAGATCACGGTGATTCAGAATCAACTCAGTGGCAACGACTAGGGAAAAGCACTTGTTTCACATGGAGAAGTGGGTAGGACTAAGGGCTTTCCCAGAGAAGGAACAGCCCATGAGGAGGCAAGATAGACCGAGTTTTGAGTGTCCCAGTTGCGTAAGAATTATAGTTGATATTGACAGCCACAGCCTGTGAGAGACCCTGCAGGACAGAGAACCTCCCAGAAGCTTTCCACGGAAAGCAGGTATCTTCATCTTTCCCTTCAGAGTGGCTTGTGGATTTGAACTTTCAACCTTGAGATCAGCCAGGCAATCTAACCATTATGCCACCAGAGTTATTTGATATTCGCATCGCTGATTCACTAAACCAAAACCAGTGAGTGTGATGAAGTCAGTTTTGATTCATGTGTGTCTGGGTAGGACCATCCACCATGATAGCTGATATGTCAGATGTAGATTGCAAGGCCTTTTTTCTGAGGTGTCTCTTGGTGAACTTGAACCTCTGACTTGTGAGTTAGCCATCAAGCGTGTTTACTATTTGTGGCACATGGGATACCAGTGCCTCACCATGGAGTTGTAAACAGAAAAGACAATGTATTCTCCGGGTTGTCCTCTATCCCCTCAAGGAACAATTTGACAGAAGAGGAGAAGGGAGACTTCTGGGAGTCGTGTAGGAAATTCCTAGGCCACAGGCAGTGTGCACACTTATAAAAACCCACATTTGAAGTCACACACCCCTGAGCTCCACTCTTGACCTGGTCACACGATGGGGAAGTCTAATCACCTCTCTGCACTGAGTTTACTCAAGAATTAAAAAGAACTAAATCCGGCCTCTCTGTCTCTTAAGGTTTTCATGAAGATTAAAGGAGCTAACAGGAGTGGATGCTGTGTACTTGGTAAACACAAAGCATCCCATCAGCACAAGCCATTGTTTGCTTGAGGACACTTCACTTATTTACCCTCTGCTCAGCATTAGTGCCTCACGTGCTGGGGAGGAATGGGGTAGGGAGTTCAGCAGCCGCTGTGAGCGTCCCTGAAACAGAGGCTCACCCAGGACCTCAGTTTGTCTGAAGAGCTGTGAGCTTACACCACAGCCTACCACAGCCCACCACAGTGCTGTTGGTCCTTACTGTGGTGAAGGAATAGACAATCTCAGTGCTGAAGAAACAAGGAGAGAGAGGAGAGAGAGAGAAAGAATTCTCAAGCTTCTAAGTGCAGGGGTACAGTTGTGTCTGTTGTTACTGTATGCTGGTAAGGTATCCCCTGAGGCACTATTGCTTTGAGAACTGGCAATGAATGAGGATGAGAGGAGGAGGATTGATATTTGAGTTGTGGTGCTGGGGAAGGACACTGAGTATCCTATGGTCTACCAAAAGAACAAACACACATGTCCTGGAGAAAGGGTACCAGAGCACTCCTCGGAGCTGAAGATGGTGAAGGTTTAGCTCTCATACTTTGAACATATAGCTAGGCAAGGCTATTTAATCCTTGGAAAGTGACATCGTGCTTCGAAAGATGGAGGGACAGTGAAGGAGATGAAGACCCCCCAACAAAGATGGATTAACACAGTGACTGTTGCAATGGGCTCAGAGATGATGAGAATGGCACAGGGTAGGACTGGTTCAGGTCTGAGCTTGCCAGACCTTTTTTCTTTCATGGCACTGCTGCGTGGATTTCAACCACCAAGAACAAACAATCTGCACCACATAGGCATCTTTCAGCATATAGTAGATACTCATTGTCTGGGGAGCAAGATAGTACAGAAATTATGGGCATGGATTCAGAAAGTGACATCATGTTGAATTGAGGAAGGTTTGATGCAATTTTTTGCTAGTTCTTGCACCTCTGTGCACCTTGGCTTCCTCTTCTTTTTTTAATAATCATTTTTTAAATTAATTTTAATGAAAATTTACAGAGACTTTGGGTTTCCATTCATTCACTGTTGCACTTTTCTCCCTGCCCACCCCTCCCCCCCAGTACACTCTTCTCTTTGAAAAGTAAAAGAAAAATTCCTTCATTGTTTTACACACCCTACCCCCAGGTCTGCTCCACTATGCAGCCTATGCTCTGGATTCCCGTCATGACAAAAATACCTAATCACATATCCCTTTAAAGTTTTCTCCCTCATCTGTTTCAATGCAGTATACATTATTGAACCCATCTTTCTCAATCTCTCCCCAACCCCGATGTCAGTCAAGTTTCACAACAGTGGCACTGTACAGTATTTGTTCCTTTGTGACGGAGATATTTCACTCAGCATAATGTCCTCCAGGGTCACCCATTTTGAATAATATTGCATGAGTTCCTTGTTTTTCAATGCTGCATAGTATTCTATTGTGTGAATATACCACAGCTTCTCTATCCATTCATTTGTTGATGGGCACTTAGGTTGTTTCCAACTCCTTGCTATTGTGAACAAAGCCGCAATAAACATGGGTGTGCATATATCTGCTTGAGTGGCAGTTATGGTCTCTTTAGGGTATATTCCCAGTCGTGGAATTGCTGGGTCAAATGATATTTCTATTTGCAACTTTTTGAGAAAGCACCACACCTCCCAATTACTGACATTGAGAAGGAACAGACTCACGGCTGACACTGTTAGACACCTGAGGTTGACAATCTCTCAGGATGAGGTTACCTGTATTGCCATAAAGCAGAAGTAAGACAGCAGTCCTATCTCAAGTCGGCATTGGTGGTACAGTGATGAGCATAATTGCTTTCCAAAACGACTACCTCACAGGGCTCATAATGAGGTTTCAATGAGACAATGTTGGAGCACAGTAAGTGCACACCCACACTCGCAAGATGGGCTATTGTTTTCTTCTCTAGAGAGCTTTTGTGGCTTCATCCATAGGGACTTGAACTGCTAATCCTAAAGTAGCACATCTCTGGTGGTTTAAATCCACCTGCAGCGCCTTACAGGAGAAAGACGGACGATCTCTCTTGTAATGTATAGCCTCTGAAATCCATTGGAGGATCAGCTGTGAGTTGGCTTCCACTCTACAGCAATGAGAGTTTCTCTTCTCTGGGGTTTTTGCTGCCCCTTTCACAGTCCCCTCTGTGCTTCCTGGAATCTTTAAGGAATGTCCTGAAGGTCTGTAGGATTGGATTTGACAGCTACAGCACAGGGGACCTGGAGTAGGGGACAGTGAGGGGCGTGGGTCATAGCGGGTGGGGAAGAAAGAGAAAGAGAGAGGAGAGACGCCAGGACGTAGACAGAGAAGAGCAAGACACACTGACAAGGAAGGGACAAATCCAAGTCCTTCCTGTGTTTTTAACTATATCACTGTTGTTAGATGCCGTACGGTTGACCATGACTCACAGCAATCCTATCAATGACAGGTCTGTCCCTTGCCTTATCCTGGGCTACCCCCTCAGTCATGCTCAAGCTCATCGTGTTGAGAGTCTTCCTCTCTTCCTCTAACCCTTCACCTTTCCCAGCATGACATCTTCTTCCAAGGACTGGCCCCTCCTGGCAACATGCCCAAAGTAGGGGAGTTTCACCACCTTTGCCTCCAAGAAGCACCCTGGTTGCATTCACTTTCTAAAAGATGGATCTATTTGTACTTTTGACAGCTCACAGGATAGTCAATACTGTATGCCTGCACCACAAACTAAAGCCACTGATTCTTTGGGCTTTGTCATTCAGTGTCCAGATCTTAGATGCATCCGAAGCAATTGAAATACCATGGCTTAGATTGGTGCCTCCAAATTTTTTAAAAATTATAATACATTCTCTTACATTTCACACTTTTTGTATACATCATCCTCAGTAGTGTTATAACATAGACAACCAGAAAGACCATAAACTCCCTGCCATTGTGTGACTTCTGACCCCTTGTGACCAAGTAGGACACTAAAGAACTGTGTGATCACACGAGTCTGACCTGAGGCTGAGAACCACTCTCTTAGATGAATAAGGGTGCAGCTGTGCTCTTCGATTCGGCAAGCGAGCCTGTCTGAAAGGCCTGTCCCAAAGATACGCTCCTCCATTTCCTCTTCCATGCCAAACTCCAATGACTCCCGAAAGTTTCCAGGCACGCCCCACCATGGCTTCTCCTGAGAGAACACCTGCCTGGACATCCTCTCCCATGTGGTCCCCTGGTGTGATCTGATAGGCTGCTTCTTATGTCCATCTGACTTTTGACGTGACTTTGATCCTCCCGAGAATAGCGCTGAGTTCCACAGGGTTTACAGTGGCCGGTGTTTTAGAGTACCTCTCCAGGCTCCTTTGGGGTAGCAGCGAACCTTATTAACCATTTGCATCACCCAGGGTTGTGATCTATGCTGTGTGTGCATTTTTTAATCCTAATAGTACAAATAGGGAGCTCTGGTGGCCGAGTGGTAAGAAACTACCCTGCAATCCCAAAGGACTACAGTTCAAATCCACCAGCTGCTCTGCAGGATAAGGATGGGCAATCTCCTCCCATGCAATTTACTGCTTCTGAAAACCCACTGGAGGGTCAGCTAGGAGTTGGTTGGACTGGAAGGCACACAACAATCGCACAAATGAAGAAATTGAAGTGTAGGGTGCTTAGCAGACGTGCCTTCTTCGCGCCACGCATGAGCAGCAGAGGCAGAGCTCCAACGCAGGCCAGATTCCAAGTTCTGTGCCCTCTGAACCGCTGGTTGACGAGCCATCAGCTGCAGAGAGCAGCTGAAGGGAGGGCTGGGCCTAAACAGTTCATCAAACGCTCCTGCTCAGAAACTGTCAGCGTCTGCAGAGGGCTTATGAAGGGGAAAATAAAAGGTTACGGTTGGCTGGAAGTTAACAAATAAAGGAAGCAAAGGTTGAAAAGCTTACAATAAATCATCTAAGGATTTTCTTCAAAATTCCTGGATGACCGAGCCAAAGAGTTGGCAAGCAGAAAGCCGGCCGGGAAGGAAGTGGGTGGATTACTGAGGGGAGGAGGCCGCTAGCCCAGGGTTAAGCAGCTCTGCACGTGCAAGGCGACGCTGCTGTGTGCATGACCCACATTATCTCAACCCACCCTCCAGCAACCGAGGAGGGAGTGCTGGGGGCCTCCCTTCTACAGATAGGGGGACAAGGGGCAGAGAGGTAACACAGAAGGACCACAGTCTCATAAATGTATGCTAGATGTTGTGGAGTTGTCATAGCAACCGTAGCTACCAAGGAATGAAACGTTGCCTGGCCTTTCATCATCCTTCTGATCAATTGCGAATTAGACCATTTTGATAGGTCACAGTTTAACTGCCTGTATTTCCGAAGCAGGCTCACCAGGCCTTTCTTTCTTAGTCCAGTTTAGTTTGGAAGCTCAACTGAAAATTGTTCAGCATCATAGCAACCTGTACTGATGGACATTTATCTGCACATGGCTCCCACTGAGATGCAGTGGCCATGAGTCAAATTCAAATCTCCCATGCAGCCAAATAAACCAAATCAAGCTCTACCCCCACTTGCGGTTGGTGGGTTTGAACTATTGACCTTTTGATCAGCAACCCAACATTCACAGTCCTTTGCCACATGGAAGGTGAGAATTCTACTGAACCACCACTGCTCTCCTTTCAAAAGGGTGGACCAAGAATATTAACATGCTGCCGCACACTTTTAAATTGAGACCGTACTTAGAAACACATTTTTTTTTGGCCGTCATTTGCAGCAACGTGTTAACTCACACCAGCCATGCAGCAAGTCCAGGCCTTTTCCACTAGCACATACCCCAGGACTTGCAGGTGAAATTTCCCAGAAAAAAAGTATGAGATTCTGCATCACAGCTCCCCTCAGTGTAGGCAAGCAAATAGCAACACACAATGGTGATTAGTAATAACACTCTGGCATCTTCTCTCTATGCAAGGAGCAAACAGGAGGGCTTTCAGATGACATCAGGAGACAACTTCCTATTGAGTTATCATCATTTGGAGAAGTCAGGCCAGGCATTATTTTTCAGCATCCCTGACAGCAAGTAACGACAGCTTAAATGACCCAAGTGGATAAACTAATTGGAATGAAATGAGATTAATATGAATTAGCTTTATTACTTCTTTATCAGGAATGTCAAGATATTGTTGCTCAGATGAGGAAGTGTGTGGAAAGTATGACTGACTCTCTCTCTCTCTCTCTCTCTTCACTGCAGGTAGAAATTGGGCTTGTAAGAAACAGAAAGGATTTTCCCTGTTTAGATGGCCAGAACAGTACAAGATGGCAAGTGGTGAAGGGAATTTTCCTCTAGAGTGTTTCTGTTCTTTGAATATTTAATTCAAATTCAAATATGGATGTATTTTGTAGATGCAAAGCTGTCTCCTCTATCACCTATCCTTAAGGTTATTGTTTAGTGTGATTAAATCTTGTTAGTTGAAGGGTCCGTGGTGAGGTAACAGTTAAAAGTCAGACAGCAGACTGGCCGGGTATGAACTCACCAAGGAGAAAGATGAGTGGTCTGCTCATAGCTTATTCATTTTTAAAAAATATTATTAATGAAAATCAACCCATATTTTAGTACTAAGACAAAGGTATAACTGGTGAAAGGTAGTCCATGCAAAAGAAAGATGGAAAAGGGGTAAAGAACCCTGGGAAAAGGAGAGAGCTTATAGCTCATTTTTGAGCAGGGCTTTTCCTTTCTTCAATTTTGCTCTCTATTTACATTTTGTAAAATGGGAGGGTTAAGTGATTTCTAATTCATCTTAGGGCAGTGAGTTTGCTTTGCTTTGAGTATTAGTTGCAGATAAGTGGCTTCTAACTCAGGATGACCCACATAAGTTTTAAGGGTCCCATGTGTGTAATGTGCATTCAAGATTGTGTCCTCTAAGAAGCAGATCACAGGGCAGAACTTCCAAGGTATGTTTGGGTGGGATTGAACGGTCAATCTTCTGGCTAACAATAAGCTTTTAATCATTTGCATCACTCATGGAATCCATATGACTAAATATAACTAACTTATTGTTACTAAGTTGAAGTTGACTCAGAACTGACTCTCTAGTGAGTTTTCTTTCAAAGGCTGTAAATTTCTTGTGGAATCCACTGGTGGATTCAAACCACAGATAGGCACCACTTTGGGGCAAGCAGTGCAACTCCCTGACCCACTAATCACCCACCAGAGCTCCCAGACGGAAAATAGGGAACAAAAATAAGAAACAGATATATCTTGGAGAAAGTGCAGCCAGTGTGCTCCCTGGAGGCAAAGATTGTGAAGGTTCATCTCTCATACTGTGGACATGCCGCTGTTGTTGTTGTTGTTGTTATTATGTGCCGTCGAGTTGCTTGCAACTCATAGCGACC